TTAGAAGCGCCCTGCCGCCTCTTCTTCCCCTGCCTTCACTTACCCTCTCGTCTGTCTTCCTCCACCCAGCTGATTCCACAGATATCCTCCCTTTCGTGGTTCACCACCATAGTGCCTTTGGTTCTTGTGCTTACCATCACGGCGGTCAAGGATGCCACCGACGATTACGTAAGCAAGGGGAAAAGTCTGGGAGAGGGGAGACCTGGGTTGGGGCTGGTAGCAATTAGGACCGCTTATCGGTGCTTTGCTGGTTTCCCAGAAGTCACATCCTGCCTTTCTTTTGCTGTGGAACTCGCAGGATCATACGAGGCAGTTCCTCGGAAGGGGAGGTCAACCACCCAGGCGCTGGCCAAACCCAGACCTGCTTAGCATGAGGCAGCTGTGTGATACGGCAGCAAAAAAGGCTAACGCAGTTCTAGGCCGCATTAACAGAAGTTGAGTGTCCAGATCAAGTCATAGTACAGTGGTACCTCAGGTTAAGTGCTTAATTCGTTCTGGAGGTCCGTTCTCAACCTGAAGCCGTTCTTCACCTGAAGCAACACTTTAGCTAATGGGGCCTCCTGCTGCTGCTGCGGCACCGGAGCACGATTTCTGTTCTTATCCTGAAACAAAAGTTCTTAACCCGAGGTAATATTTCTGAGTTAGCGGAGTCTGTTACCTGAAGCATCTGTAACCTGAAGTGTATGTAACCCAAGTACCACTGTACAGTCATACCTCATGTTACGTCTGCTTCATGTTACGTTCTTTCAGGTTACGTCCCGCGGCGACCGGGAAGTACCGGAAAGGGTTACTTCCGGGTTTTGCTGCTCACGCATGCGCAGAAATGCAAAATGACATCATGCGCAGAAGTGGCGAATCACAACCCACGCATGTGCAGACGAGCCGCTGCAGGTTGCGTTGTTTTCATGTTGCGAACGGGCCTCCGGAACGGATCCCGTTCGCAACCAGAGCGTCTACTGTTGCGCTCTATTCTGCCTTGGTCAGACCACACCCGGAATACTGTACCCAGTTCTGGGCAACACAATTTAAGAAAAATATTGACAAGTTGGGAAGGTGTGCAGAGGAGGGCAAGTGAGATGATCAAGGGTATGGAAACCAAGCCTTATGAAGAACGGTTGAAGGAGCTGGGCATGTTTAGCCCGGAAAAGAGACTGAGAGGAGATACGATAGCAATCTTCAGAAGTTGGTTTTCTGCTGCTCAGAGTGTAGGACCCAAACCAATGGATTCAGACGACAAGAAAGGAGACTCCGACTAAACGTTAGAAAGAACTTTCTGACTAGGGTTGGACTAGACAACCACTGGGACACCTTCCAACAAAATTATTCTACCTGGAGATTTAACCCAGGACCTTCTGCACTCAAAGCAGAAGACTATAAAAAGGCATAAGAAGATCCTGGCTGCAGGATGAGGCCCATGGCCTGTTCTCGCAGTGGCCTCTGGGAAGCCCGCAAGCAGGCCCTGAGTGCGAGAGCAACTCTCTCTACTCTGCGATTCCCAGCAAGTGATGTTCAGAGGCATTTTGCCTCCGAATATGCAGGGAGAACATAGCCATTGTGACTAGCGGCCCCCGATCGCCCGACCCTCCTCGATTGTATCGGGGGACCTTCCTTTCATTCTGCATCGCGGGGTTGGGCTAGATGACCCTTGGGTCCCTTCCGACCCTTAAGATTCTGCGATCTTGCTGTCTCTCTGCAGTTTCGCCACAAGAGTGACAACCAGGTGAACAATCGCCAGTCTCAGGTGCTGATCAATGGGATGTGAGTATTGCCACGGCAACTGCGGATCGGTGGTGGTGGTGCATTTCTGGGCGAGGGGTGGGAAATCCGCTAGGCCAGCCATGGGTGATGGGAATCCTGTGGCCCTTTGGATACGCCTGGACTCAAAACACCCCCTTCAGCCCCAGCCAGCGTGGCCAGTGATCAAGGAGGAGGTGAGTTCGAGCCCAGCAAAATTTGGAGGGCTGTGGGGGTCACACACGCGCGCACACACACACACACACACCCCAGGGTGGTTGGTGGCCATTGAGAGTGATGGACCAGAAGACAGGGAGCCCAACAGTAGGGGCAGCTGGAGCGTGTGATTGGTGGAGCCAGAGCCTGTGATTGGTGGAGCCGGAGCCTGTGATTGGTGGAGCCGGAGCTGTGATTGTTAGAGCTGGAGCCTGTGATTGGTGGAGCCGGAACGTGTGATTGTTAGAGCCGGAGCCTGTGATTGGTTGAAGCCGGAGCCTGTGATTGTTAGAGCCGGAGCCTGTGATTGGTGGTTCCCATCCTTGAGTTAAAACAAGTGTTGGGAATGCTGGACTGCAACGCCCATCATCCCTGGACCTTGACCGTATTGGATGGGGCGGGAAATTCCAGCTTTAATTGAGTGGCAGACGAAAATGTTTGAATACGTAGAATTGGCGAACATGACTTATAAGATTCGAAACCAAAAAGTTCGAAGAGGAACGGAGTAAATTCGTTGAATGTATAAGGAATAATTGTAGAAGCTTAAAGACTGTAGCAGGGCTAATATACCGTATTTTTCGGCTCATAGGGCGCACTTAGGTTTTTTGGGGGGAAAGAAAGAAAAAAAAATTATTTCCCCCCCCCAGGCGCGGGGCTGGGGCGGGGGAAGCCCAAGCTTCTATAGGGCAAAAAAATACGGCAAATCTTTTGATATGGACAGAGTGTAAATAAGAATCTGTAAGAGTGGATGTTAATTATGAAAACCGAAGGAGGGAAGTCTGGGCGTTATAATGCGCGTGGTAAATAAGAAGACACAATAATGTTGAATGTAAGAGTATATATTTTATTTATTCTTGTTTTGGAAAATCAATAAAAAGCATTTTTTTTAAAAAAAAAAGACTGTGTTGGCTGGGGCTGATGGGAGTTCTAGTTTAGCCACACCTGGCGGGCCAGAGGTTCCCCACACCTGATCGAAGTAAATATATCTTAAGTGATGGGGTTGGGCTTGTCTGCCTGTTTTCCTTTGATGCGCCTCCTTTTTCTCCACTGCCAACCCCCTCTCCCCAAATCTTCCCCACATCTGGTCCTTACAGCCTCCGTCAGGAACAATGGATGAACGTTCGCGTGGGTGACATCATAAAGTTGGAGAACAACCAGTTTGTGGCGGTGAGTCCTAGGCCAGCCCCGCAGTGCTGTTTGCCCCACTAAGCTGTGTGAGACCCACAAGTACCTGCAAGTCTAGGAATGAAGGAAAGGTCTGGTGAGCCATGTTGGGGAAGGGCGAGTAGAGCACCTGCCTTGCGTGAAGAAGGTCCCAGGTTCAGTCCCTGGCCTCTCCAGGTAGATGTGGGAACTCTCCCTGCCTGGAGAGGTGCTGCCAGTCCGTGTAGACAATACTGAGCTGGATGGACTGACTTACACTAAGGCTCTTGCTTAAAGGTAAAGGGTAAAGGGACCCCTGACCATTAGGTCCAGTCGTGACCGACTCTGGGGTTGCGGCGCTCATCTCGCTTTATTGGCCGAGGGAGCCGGTGTACAGCTTCCGGGTCATGCGGCCAGCATGACTAAGCCGCTTCTGGAGAACCAGAGCAGCGCACGGAAGCGCCGTTTACCTTCCTGCCAGAGTGGTACCTATTTATCTACTTGCACTTTGATGAGCTTTCAAACTGCTAGGTTGGCAGGAACAGGGACTGAGCAACGGGAGCTCCCCCCGTCGCAGGGATTCAAACTGCCGACCTTCTGATCGGCAAGTCCTAGGCTCTGTGGTTTAACCCACAGAATTAAGTACTTAACCCTAGGTACCACTGTACTGAGAGATTAGGACAGTGGTTCTCAAACTTTTTCCTCTGGGCCACACTTTCATAGTAAGAATTTGCTCGTGCCACACCATTTTTTAATCAATGAGAAATACATTGTGAAGCAAAGAGCAAAACAAACAACTACTAGCAGTGGTTGATTTGTAACGTGGAACACAACAACTTTATAATATGATCGTAGGATGTCCCGAAAGTATAAAACAACACAGCCACCTAAGAACATGACTCATTCCCAAAATATAATTCTAAATGATCCTCTTACATACGTACCTTAAGTATGTATACAAACTCAATGAGAGGTGTCAGCTTGCTTTTGCCGGGTAATCTCACGTATATTGGGTCTAATTTGAGACAAACAAACACTCATTTCCTCATCCACACAAAGAAACCGTTCTCTTTTCTGATCTTCCCATGGCTGGGGCAACCGAGGCAGATGGGCGGGGTATAAATAACAAAATTTTTATTTGTCAGAGTTGACAGCAAGTGTTCACAGCAACTGTAGAATAGCCAATGCTCTTGTTTTGAAAATACATTTATCCATAGTCTGCAAAAAAGAGAAATTATTTTTATACTATTAGAAGGCCCAATTGCCTTCTAAATCTGGCCTGTGGATGGTCTGGGAATCAGTGTGTTTTTACATGACTAGAATGTGTGTTTTTATTTAAAATGCATCCCCGGCTTATTTGTGGAGCATTCATTCATATATTTTTTTCAAAATATAGTCCGGCCCCCCCACGATGTCTGAGGGACAGTGGACCGGCCCCCTGCTGAAAAAGTTTGCTGACCCCTGTACTATGCTATACTATACTATACTATACTATACTATACTATACTGTACCATGGATAGCTCAGTCAGTGGAACATGAGACTCTACACATGTGAAATCTACACATATATAAAAAAATGCTGTGAAAATGCTTTTTTAAAAAAAACGTTTTGAAAAATACATTGAATTTGGCATAGCTCACCGTCGCTGTCTAGTGTCACTTTGGAAAATTGCACTTGACAACATACTTAAATGCATTTGACATCTTTCCCCCACCTTCTTGCCAATACCAGTGTGGTGTGCTATGCTCTTTGAGAACCACTGGACTAGTAATACAGTGGTCCCTCGGGCTAAGTACTTAATTCGTTCCGGAGGTCCGTTCTTAACCTGAAACTGTTCTTAACCTGAAGCACCACTTTCGCTAATGGGGCCTGCCGCTACTGCCGCACCGCTGGAGCATGATTTCTGTTCTCATCCTGAAGCAAAGTTCTTAACCCGAGGTACTATTTCTGGCTTAGCGGAGTCTGTAAGCTGAAGTGTATGTAACCTGAAGCGTGTGTAACCCGAGGTACCACTGTATAAAGGATGCAATCTGCATGTTTGTGTGAATTCAGGCACAGCCTCTGTGGCTGGTATTTGCTGTTTCAGCCTCGTTCCTCCCTTCTCCCCCCAGGCTGACTTGCTCCTCCTATCCAGCAGCGAACCTCACGGACTTTGCTACATCGAAACAGCAGAGCTGGACGGGTGAGTGCTGACCCCCTTTTCCATGCTTTTCCCTCAGCAGTTGGGGCAGTTGAGGGGGCTGCCGTCATGCGACTCAGAAAGCGAGCCTTGCGCTATTGGGTTTACGCATTGAAGCAGGTGTCTGCTCATTTGGATGGGGGTCTTGGATGGGACGCAGGTGGTGCTGTGGGTTAAAGCCTCAACGCCTAGGACTTGCCGATCGAAAGGTCGGCGGTTCGAATCCCCGTGGCAGGGTGCGCTCCCGTTGCTCGGTCCCAGCGCCTGCCAACCTAGCAGTTCGAAAGCACTCCCGGGTGCAAGTAGATAAATAGGGACCGCTTACTGGCGGGAAGGTAAACGGCGTTTCCGTGTGCTGCGCTGGCTCGCCAGATGCAGCTTGTCACGCTGGCCACGTGACCCGGAAGTGTCTCTGGACAGCGCTGGCCCCCGGCCTCTTGAGTGAGATGGGCGCACAACCCTAGAGTCTGTGAAGACTGGCCCGTACGGGCAGGGGTACCTTTACCTTTACCTTACTCCGTCGGGCTGGGACCGCTAGCATGGCATAATGGTTAAGGTGCCAGACTAGGACCTGGAAGAGACCAGGGTTCAAATCCCCGCTGAGCCCGAAGGTCGCTTGGGCCAGTCACAGCCTCTCAGCCTAACCCCACCTCACAGGGTTGTCGCGAGGATAAAATTGGGAGGAGGGAAAACCATGTACCGCATTTTTCGCTCTATAAGACGCACCAGACCACAAGAGTTTTTGGAGGAGGAAAGCAAGAAAAAAAATATTCTCAATCTCAGAAGCCAGAACAGCAAGAGGGATCGCTGCGCAGTGAAAGCAGCGATCCCTCTTGCTGTTCTGGCTTCTGGGGTAGCTGCACAGCCTGCATTCGCTCCATAAGACGCGCACACATTCCCCCTTAATTTTAAGGAGGGAAAAAGTGAGTCTTATGGAGCAAAAAATACGGTATACCATGGAGAGATTGGGTGGCTATCCGTCCTGGATGCTTTAATTATTTTATATTTTATATTGTTTTATATTTTATTTGAATGAATTTTATTATTTCGGTCACAGACCAGTTCCAGCCCACATACAATATCAAGTCATAAAACACGATAGGGATACGTTTGAATTTGCAATTAGGTATAACAGGGACAATACAGATATAGCAACTAAAAATATATAAATTAAAACTTAGTATATTTTATTTATACTCTGATTATCAGGCTGGGTTTCCCCAGCCACTTTGGGCAGCTTTACAGCACATATAAAACATAGTAAAACGTTTTCTATTTGAGATTCATGCGTTGCGGGGGCGGGGGGGGCGGCGGGTCAGACTAGATTACTCTAGGGGTACCTTCCAACTCCACAATTGTATGATTCCTACCACCTTGACTTCCTTGGAAGAAAAGGTGGGATATGCACGAACTAAATGAATAAAATGATACTTTATTATTTCCCCCCCATAAAATCAATATACTGCTTAATTGTAAAAACAAAACCCCAAAGCAGTTTACAAGAGGAATAGAACGACGACATTATCGGTAAGAAAACAGTTAAGAGCAACAATTTGAAACCTCCAAAAAATAATTTAAACCGATAAGCTGAAAACCAAATTGAAGCACATGTCAGCGTTCCACATGTCTGGATAGACTTGCTTAAATAAAAATGTTTTTAGTGAAGGCGCCTGGCTGTTGTCAAAAGGCAGGGAGTTCCAAGGCGATCTGAACTGCTTACCTAGTTCATTTCATTCATTATGTACTGCTTACGTTTAAACAAGGCTCTTCACGGTTATAACTCAGGTCCAAATATATATTAGAAAAGAATAAAGAATTTCTACGTTCTACAAAATGCCGTCGACAGCAAAACAGAACCTCAGCCTTTCAATCAAAACAATGTAAAAATTTGCCTGCGAAGCAGTTTTTAAATCGGCAAACAAATGGCAGCGAGCTCGGCGGAGCCTCCCTGTTCACTCACAGTCTATCTGAATGTCAGTTGCTGATGGGGGAGGTTGGTAAACCAGCTGGCACTTGGCTGTAGGCTTTTCTGCCTGCCTTTTGGCCTTTCTGGAGACATCTGTGAATAATTATTATTATTATTATTATTTATACCCCGCCCATCTGGCTGGGTCCCCCCAGCCACTCTGGGTGGCTTCCAACAAAACACTAAAATACAATAACCTATTAAACATTAAAAGCTTCCCCTACAGGGCTGCCTTTAGATGTCTTCTAAAAGTTTGGTAGTTATTTTTCTCTTTGACATTTGGTGGGAGGGCGTTCCACTACCGAGAAGGCCCTCTGTCTGGTTCCCTGTAACTTGGCTTCTCGCAGTGAGGGAACCACCAGAAGGCCCTTGGCGCTGGACCTCAGTGTTCGGGCAGAACGATGGGGGTGGAGATGCTCCTTCAGGTATACTGGACCGAGGCCGTTTAGGGCTTTAAAGGTCAGCACCAACACTTTGAATTGTGCTCGGAAACGTACTGGGAGCCAGTGTAGGTCTTTCAAGACCGGTGTTATATGGTCTCGGTGGCCGCTCCCAGTCACCAGCCTAGCTGCCGCATTCTGGATTAGTTGTAGTTTCCGGGTCACCTTCAAAGGTAGCCCCACATAGAGCGCATTGCAGTAGTCCAAGTGGGAGATAACTAGAGCATGCACCACTCTGGCGAGACAGTCCACGGGCAGGGAGGGTCTCAGCCTGCGTACCAGATGGAGCTGATAAACAGCTGCCCTGGACACAGAATTGACCTGCGCCTCCATGGACAGCTGTGAGTCCAGAATGACTCCCAGGCTGCACACCTGGTCCTTCAAGGGCACAGTTGCCCCATTCAGGACCAGGGAGTCCTCCACACCAGCCCACCTCCTGTCCCCAAAAACAGTACTTCTGTCTTGTCAGGATTCAACCTCAATCAGGATTCAACCTGTGAGGAGCAGGACGCTGTGCAACTTTGATCCCTTCATCCTGATCCGGTTCTTACCGTGCCTCTTTTCATTGGGTGTAGGCTTGAGTGCGAGGTCTGCCCCTCCCCCCCCGCCGGGATCCAGGACCTAGGCTCCTGGGCCTGCTCCTTGCCTCCCCTCCATGCTTAATGCTGCTTTTGCCTCCAGGGAGACCAACATGAAGGTCCGTCAGGCCATCCCAGTGACGTCGGAGCTGAGTGACACCAGCAAGCTTGCGCACTTTGATGGTGAGTGGGGGGGGGGAGTGGGCGGGCATAGTTTTGCATGCGACACAGAGCCTGCAGATTTTCCTAACTGACCTTGGGACACCCCCCCCCTCCTTGAGTGTGTTTTCCCCTGCCTGGGCTGAGAGTCCTTCGTCTCTTGGGGCTGAGAAACGCTCCCCCCACCCTCTGGTTTGCCTGGTGCCACCAGTGCTTTGCAGGTTGCAAAGGGCCGGGTCCCTGTCCCAGGTAGCTTACATTAAAAAATGCTGAGGGAACAGGTGGAGGGCAACTCCAACCAGATAAGTCTCTGTCCCAAGGATCTTCCAGATCTGAACTTTGGTTGAATTGGAAAAGAGACTGAGGGCAAGGTGATGACGATGATAATAACAATAACAATAACAACAACAATAATAAAATGCATTAATTAATTAATTAATTAATTTATACCCCGTCTATCCAGCTGGGTTTCCCCAGCCACTCTGGGTGGATCCCAACAGAATATTAAAATCACGATAAAACTTCAAACATTAAAAACTTCCCTAAACAGGGCTGCCTTCAGATGTCTTCTAAAAGTCAGATAGTTGTTTATTTCCTTGACATCTGATGGGAGGGCGTTCCACAGGGCGGGTGCCACTACTGAGAAGGCCCTCTGCCTGGTTCCCTGTAACCTCACTTCTCGCAGTCAGGAAACTGCCAGAAGGCCCTCGGAGCTGGACCTCAGTGTCCGGGCTGAACGCTCCTTCAGGTATACTGGGCCGAGGCCGTTTAGGTGGACCATGAATAGCCAAGATTCCTCTTCCTCATAGCCTCTCATTGGCTCTGGCGCCACCTGCCTGCCACCCAGTGGGCACCTCCAGCCTCTGCTCCCTGCACCCAGCAAAAGTGATCTTTGCATTTCCTAGCTTGGAGGAAATGCAAGTTACTTCCGACTGGGGATTTTGTTCTGAAATGATGCCTTTTGACTTCAGGGGAGGTGATCTGCGAGCCGCCCAACAATAAGCTGGACAAGTTCAGCGGGACGCTCTACTGGAAGGACAGCAAGCACTCCTTGAGCAACCAGAACATGCTGCTTCGTGGCTGCGTCCTCCGCAATACGGAGTGGTGTTTTGGCCTTGTCATCTTCGCAGGTGCGTGAGCTTTTATTTCAGTTTTCCTTAAAGCGGTTGATACTCTGCTCTTCATCCAAGGAGCCTCACCCAGAGCACCTTGCCTTCCCACCCCCAAAACCAGCCTGCCCCTCGGTGCACAATATGGAAAGACCCGACATGCTGTGATGGCCTGGGACTCGGACTCGGAACCAGGGGAGTCTCAGTCTGCACAGGCATCCTTTGCCTCAGGCATCATCTGAACCAAGTCTGGGGCCTGATCCTGAAGAGCCCCAGTCTGCACAGGTTCCCCTGCAACAAGCACCAGCTGGGCCGAGTCAGGGGCCTGAGCCTGCCCTGGCTCCAGATGCGGGGATTACCTCGTTGCCTTCAGCTGGGCCATCACTTACAGCTGCTCCACTACCGGTTGGGTCAAGGGAGGCGGAGGCGGCCTCTGGGTCTAGTAACCCACCGACGTCTCCCGAGTTGCAGAGGGCTGAGGTCTGAGAGAAGGAGAGACCTGAGTACTCGCAGGAGGAGTGCTCGCCTTTGGGCGAGACAGGGAGGTGAGTCGCCGGGGGATCAGGACTAGACGTTACCCCGACAAAGATAAAAGGCTGTCGGACTCTGCCCCAGGTTGTGGGAGCAACATTGCTGTATGCTAGACCCTGCCTGAGATCCTGTACCTGTCCTTGCCTGGTTTCCTGCCTTGGCCCTGTCGGACTGACTCCCAGAGGAACCTTCGGGTTCTGGTCCAGTCCTGGACCGCGTTTCACGGGTTACCCTCGGACCCAGCACACGCGCAAGGAGAAAGGGAGAGGGGTTATTGTCCCTCCCTCATCTGATCTCTCATGGCCTCCTGAAGCTCCGTCAAGATAGGTTGAAGAGAGGAAGAATTGTTTCACAAGGTCACAACAATGGGGGGAAGTCAATGCTCCCCAACCTTGACTTATTTGTTACATTTCATTTCATGGAACCATAAAATTGGAGAGTTGAAAAGGAGCCACAAGGGTCATCTAGGCCAGGCAGGTCCAACCGGCTGATCACGATCTACTGGTCGATCGCGGGATGTTCCTGGTGGATCCTAGGCGATTGTTAGCTCCCCCGCCCCCCAAAAAAAGGAAAGGGGGAGAAAATGCTCAACAACCATGGTCTCTCCCCCTAAAAAAGATAGTTGGATGTGCCTGATCTAGGCCAATGCCGAAAATCTACAAGGACCTGGGGCCTGGCTCAGGAGGAGATGGGCAGCCAGCGCAAATGTTTTAAATGCTGGAGTCACATTAGAGTGGTACCTCAGGTTACAAACACCTTGGGGACACAAACAGGCTCCGCTAGCCCGGAAGTAGTACCTCGGATTAAGAACTTTACCTCAGGATGGGAACAGAAATCGCATGGCGATGGCAGCGGGAGGCCCCATTAGCTAAAGCGCGCCTCCGGTTAAGAACGGTTTCGGGTTAAAATGAATGAATTAAGTTCTTAACCCGAGGTACCACCGCAAATTACCTCACGTTCCTCCTGTATGTTTATTTCTCTGGCTCCTACAGGCCCAGACACCAAACTAATGCAGAACAGCGGCCGCACGAAATTCAAGAGAACGAGCATTGACCGCTTGATGAACACCTTGGTGCTTTGGGTACGTAAAGCTCCCTGCTTCCTCCCTCCCTTCCTAGAATTTTAGAGTTGGATGAGACCCTCTGAGGATTATCTAGGGTCTATGTGATTTTAGCAAAAATGTAACAAAGATTTAAGAAAAATAGACTGTTAATTGGTGAAAAGAGGGAAAGTAAACTTATATTAAGATCAAGATAAATTTCCAGGATAAAAATTTTGAAGAGAGGGAAAGGATTTGCTGAAATGGATAATTGACTTAGAATACAAAAAAGGGAGGTGTGAGGAGGTCAGGGAAACAAGCAAATGAAAGATAAGTTATGGGAAGGTTTGCTTTGTTTTTTGTTTTTTGTTTTAATTGTTTCTATTTTTCTGTTTTTTTATTGTGATGTGTTGTTTTGCTATTGTTTAATTTGGTGTTTTTTCTTTTGCCTTTTTGTAAACTTAAAACCTTAATAAATACTATTTAAAAAATAATAAAAAATATCTAGACCAGGGGTCAGCAAGGTTTACTGGCCGTGGGCCGGATCTCTCCCACGGAGACCATCCGTGGGCCAGACTGGCGCAGCGTGACGCCGGAAATTGCATCTGCACATATCCGCAGCGCTGGAAATTGCTTCTGCACATGCCCAGACACCGGAAATCACACCTGTGCAGAAGCGATTTTCAGCGTCTGGACATGCGCAGACGCAATTTCCAGTATCCGGGCATTGCAGACGCAATTTCCGGCGCCGCTTGGTGAGTTGCGCTGATTAGGGCAGTGCGTGGGGGACCCGCTGAGTGGGCGGCTCAGTTTGGGGGCAGCTTGTGGGTTGGTAAAACGGTCTTCGTGGGCTGCATCCGGCCCATGGGCCACACGTTGCCGATCCCTATCAACCCCCTGTGATGCAGGAATTCTGTCCCTGGGTGGGCTCGAACTACCAACCTTCTGGTTAACGGTTTTTAAGCAAGGAGTCCCCCCCTCCTGTTCCACCTGAGCATAGAAGATCCTGCCCTCTCTCTGTGTGTTTTATTTGTCCGCTTTTAATACTCCGTGCACCTTCCCCCGGCAGATCTTTGGCTTTCTCGTGTGCATGGGCATCATCCTGGCCATTGGCAACTCCATCTGGGAGTACGAGGTGGGCGCCTGCTTCCAGATCTACCTGCCCTGGGACGAGGCGGTCGACAGTGCCTTTTTCTCTGGCTTCCTCTCCTTCTGGTCCTACATCATCATCCTGAACACGGTCGTCCCCATCTCCCTCTACGTCAGGTATTTTGGGGCGCTCTCATCCCCCTCCCACCGTTTTTGTCGCCCTTAATAATTCCTAGCAATTATGGGATATGCCTTTCAATATTCTCAGTAGCTTAGTTCTCCAATAAGAGGGTAGCATTATATTAACGGGGTACAGGCCTGACGTACGGTTGCCTTGATTTGTTAAAAAGGGCCTGTGGTTAATCTTAACCATGGTTAGTCTTAGCCATGGTTGATCTTAACCATGGTTAGGGAAAACAAGCCAGCTTCATAAACTAGGGTTTGGAGGTAGCTTGCTTCTGCTGCGTGTAGTTTCAACTGACGGTAATCTGCCTGGTTTTGGATGTCATGACAAACTGCAAGGCGTCTAAAACGAAAGCGAAATCTCCCATTCTCCTCCTTGCAGAAAGAAAGGGTCAGTGAGACTGATCCTTCTGCAGCTTCATGCAGGCACAGCCCCTATGTAATACAGGTCAACAATCATTGCATCAACCCCTGTAAGACATGCCAGCATTTATTACACCCCTATTACAGATGGGGAAGGTTGAGGTCGAGTGACTTGCCTACTGCTTCATCTCCAATGAGTTCACGGCTGAGATTGCAACTGCAGCTTGTGCTTATCAGCTGCTGTCCGTGAATCCTTGATCCCTGATCCCAGAGTCTTTAGACAGGCAGTGTCCAGACCCCTGAGCTCCCTCGAAACCAACCTATAACTTCAGGAGGAGACGGTATTGAGAGTTGGGATCCTCCTAGTGGTGCAGCGATGAAACTGCTTGCACCTTTGCAAAGCTAAGCAGGGTCTGGTATGGTTTCAAGTTGGATGGGGGACTGCGTGTTGAGATCCCTGCATTGCAGGGGGTTGGACTAGATGACCCTCGGGTCCCCTTCCAGCGTTGATTCTAAAAGAGGTGAGCAGGCAGAATTTTAGGAAGCGGGCATCTGAGGCTATTATCAGGAATGATCTGACCAGTTTTATCTCTCCCACCTTCTCCTAACGATGCCTCTGTCATCCACGTTTAGTATGTCCTGATGGCTGCACTGCCACATTCCTATTTTTTGGTTCCATCTTATTTTCTCCCTGCCTTTCTGCCTGCAACCCTGCTACCTGTGTCTGTTCTTTTTTTGGTTGGTTTAATTTCTCTTTTTCTTTTGAATTCTTCAGCACGAATTTCTCTTTCTCTCTCACACCCTTAGCCCCCAGGTAAGAGCATGCGCCGTCACCCGAAACCCGCTTCCAGCTTTGCTTGGGTCCTTGCAGCTTACGGTGAGGTAGGGGGTGAGTGGGACGTCCCGTTCCATAGCATCCTGTGAGCTGCATAAGGGATGTAGCTTAGTGGTTACAGCATGCAGAAGGTTCCAGGTTCAAATCCTGGCATCTCCCAGGTGCAGATGAGAGCATCTCCTGCCGTAAAACCTGGAGAGACAGGTCAGTGTTGACAGTGCTGACCTGGATAGATAGATAAATATAGATATAAGGCAGCTTAGGTCAGTTCCACAAGCAATTATTTTTAAGGGAAGGCCATAGCTCAGTAATAGAGCAACTGCTTTGCTTGCCAAAGGATCCGGGTTCAATCCCAGTGACATCTCCAGCTTGCACAGCTGACACACAGGGAAGTAGCCTCCCTGCCCATCAGCTGAGCTGGTCGAGAAGACCTCCGCTGCCCCTCTGGCTCGCAGAAGCCTGGAGGGCAGTGGGGCTTGCTCATGTGTTAAGCAATGAGGCCTCCAGCTTGCAAGAAGACCTTTGGACTCTGTGGAGTGTCTGCTCACAAGCCAGGGCATGCGGGTGGAACTGTGGTCCAAACCACTGAGCCTCTTGGGCTTGCCGAGCAGAAGGTCAGCGGTTCGAATCCCTGCGACGGAGTGAGCTCCCGTTGCTCTGTCCCAGCTCCTGCCAACCTAGGAGTTCAAAAGCACACCAGTGCGAGTAGATAAATAGGCATGGCTGCGGTGGGAAGGTAAACAGCGTTTCTGTACGCTCTGGTTTCCGTCATGGTGTTCCGTTACACCAGAAGCGGTTTAGTCTTGCTGGCCACACGACCTGGTAAGCTGTCTGTGGACAAACGCTGGCTCCCTCGGCCTGAAGCAAGATGAGCGCTGCGATCCCACCTTTGACTGGACTTTACTGTTAGGGGGTCCTTTACCTTTCTCGCAAGCCAGTTGGACTCTCCAGGGTGCTCCCCATTTCCAGGTTCCTGATACTGCAAGTGTGCACAGTTGCATGCAAAAATGTCACTTGTAAATGGGGAGTAGGGACGCGGGTGGTGCTGTGGGTTAAACCACTGAGCCTCTTGGGCTTGCCGATCAGAAAGTCGGTGGTTTGAATCCCCGTGATGGGGTGAGCTCCCGTTGCTCGGTCCCTGCTCCTGCCAACCTAGCAGTTTGAAAGCATGTCAAAGCGCAAGTAGATAAATAGGTACCGATCTGGCAGGAAGGTGAACAGTGTTTCCGTGCGCTGCTCTGGTTCGCCAGAAGCGGCTTAGTCCTGCTGGCCACATGACCCGGAAGCTGTATGCCGGCTCCCTTGGCCAATAAAGCGAGATGAGCGCTGCAACCCCAGAGTCGGTCACGACTGGACCTAATGGACAGGGATCCCTTTACCTTTTTTAAATGGGGAGTTGGCCTGTACTAAGTTAGATGGACCAAATGACGTGACTCAATATGAGGCAACTTCCTGTTTTTCTATAAGGTATAGTCTGCTATCTTTCCACCCTTTCCCCAAACCCTGGTAGGGGAGAGCGTTTCAGGCCTGTGACTAGCCGATTCCGAGATCTTCCTCTCATTTCTTGGGGCTCCTGTTTGTTTCTTTGTTCATTTGTCAGATTTCTAGCTCACTGGCTCAGAGCAGCTTTTACACCCGCCTGTCTGTAAATCTGTGGTTTTGGGGAGTCTCCAGGCAGGCTGGGGGGCATTTGGTGGATCTCTCCAGGCCTTGGGCCCAATCCAGAGGCAAGGAACCCTTTCCAACTCGAGGGCCTTTCTGGGCATGTTTTTGAGGGCCACATGCCAGTGGTAGTCTGGCCCAGAGGCAGAAAGAGAGAGCGGGGGAATGAATTTTACCTTGGTGCAGTAGGCTGGTTTCTATCCCAGCGCTAACCTCTTCCTCCTCCCATGTCTGCGCAGCGTGGAGGTGATTCGCCTCGGGCACAGCTACTTCATCAACTGGGATAAGAAGATGTATTGCGTGAAGAGGTGCACGCCGGCCGAGGCCCGGACCACGACCCTCAACGAGGAGCTGGGGCAGGTGGAGTACATCTTCTCTGACAAGACAGGCACCCTCACCCAGAACATCATGGTCTTCAGCAAGTGCTCCGTGAACGGGCGCAGCTACGGTAAGCCGGGTGTCCCAAAATGCAGACAAAGCCGGGTTCGAAACCAGTTTTGTTGTCGTTATGACTAGGGTTTTTTTTAAAAAAAAATATATTAGTTGCTGTTATTGGGTTCTTCTTCTTCAAATTACAGTGGTGCCTCGGGTTACATACGCTTCAGGTTACAGACTCCGCTAACCCAGAAATAGTGCCTCAGGTTAAGAACTTTGCTTCAGGATGAGTAACAGAAATAGTGCTCCAGCGGCAGGAGGCCCCATTAGCTAAAGTGGGTGCTTCAGGTTAAGAACAATTTCAGGTTAAGTACAGACCTCCGGAACGAATTAAGTACTTAACCCGAGGTACCACAGTAGTAGTAGTAGTAATAATAATAATAATAATAATAATAATAATAATAATTATTATTATTGGTTCTTCTTTTCTTTCAAATTATTAGTTGCTGTTATTGGTGGTTCTTCTTCTTCTTCTTAACTACAGTGGTACCTTGGTTCTCAAACTTAATCCGTTCTGGGAGTCCGTTCGACTCCCGAAACCATTCGAAAACCAAGGTGCGGCTTTCAGTTGGCTGCAGGAGCTTCCTGCACTCAAACGGAATCCGCGTCGGATGTTCAGTTTCTGGAAAAATGTTCACAAACCAGAACACTTATTTCCGGGTTTGCAGCGTTTGGGAGGCCAAGCTGTTTGGGAGCCAAGCTGTTTGAGTACCAAAGTACCACTGTACTGTTCAGGTGACTGGCTGCACCAGGCGAGGGTAGCCATTGGGTCCTCAAATTCCAGTGAGTTAGGGACTTCCACTGCATGTGAAGATAGATCCAGCGGATTGAACGCACAAGAACCAATAATGGGCCCAACGGTCAAGAAAGCAGTTTTCTGCACATGCTGTAGAGGGAAGTGAGGGGCAGATGGACCCTCTTTCTAAACGGCCTGCAGTCCACGACACCATGAAGGAGCGTCTCCACCCCCATCATTCAGCCCAGACACTGAGGTCCAGTGCTGAGGGCCTTCTGGCAGTTCCCTCCCTGCAAGAAGCGAGGTTATAGGGAACCAGGCAGAGGGCCTTCTCGGTAGTGGCACCCGCCCTGTGGAACACCCTCCTATCAGATGTCAAGGAAATAAACAACCACCGTATTTTTCGCTCTATAAGACGCACTTTTCCCTCCTAAAAAGTAAGGGGAAATGTGTGTGCGTCTTACGGAGCGAATGCAGGCTGCGCAGCTATGGCTGAAGCCAGAACAGCGATGGTGTTCTGCTATGGTAGCATCCTACTATGGCGTGTCGATACCTCCTCTCTCTCTCGCCCTCCTAGGTCGTAACCCTCGCTCTTTATTTTTCTCTGTTTCGCAGGTGATGTCCTGGATGTTCTGGGTTACAAGGCTGAGCTCGGAGAGGTAGGAGCTGTGGGAGAATCTCGGCGATGAGATGGATAGCAGAAAGGAGCAGGGAAAGGGGTTTTATTAAGGGGAGGGGGAAGGAAAGTGGTGGCGGGAACACCCACCCGCAGAGTTGCCCCCTGTTAACGGGAATAATAACAGTGATAATGGTCACCTCATTTATTTATATACTCCCATTAGGATGCATGGCATTCCACAGTGCGTAAAAGGACAAAGTCCCTGCCCCAATGAGCTTACAATCTATTTAAAAAAAGAGATTAATCTTAAGCTCCCCAATGTCCTGTCTGGAGGATGAAAATCCATCGTTCGAAAGGAGGAGTTTTTGTGTTCCGAGTGGCATATTTGTCCTGGAAGCACAAATGTTGTCCCATTGACTTAAAAACGTGGGCCAAATGAAACCTTTGCTGCAGATTCTCCCCCCCCATAAAAAGTTTATGTA